CCCTTCCTGCCCTCGCTCACAATCCAAACCACTGCACCTCAATCTCCTGCATCCCCTCCTCTACCCCAATTCCATGCCCTAGGTCATAATCCAACTCTCTGAACCCTATTCCAGTGCCCCAGGTCACAACTGCCTCCTTTACCCAAACTCCCTCCCTTACCCCAAGCTCCCTTCAGCATCTAACCTCCATTGCAGACCCCGCACCTCCTCCATTAATATCACGGAAGAGTGCGGCCCTCGACCACTTTCCAAATTCTTGGAGTGGCTCTCCCACCAAAAATTATTGCCCTCCTCTGTTTTAGATTTTAACCGGAATACCCTACATTTCAGCAGAGTGCCCTAAGCATGGGCCTATTCTGGGAGTTCCCTCCTTCCTACCCCCTCAAGTTTTCATCCTGGACCTGAGAAACCCTTCTAATTGATACATTTCCAGGAGCAGATTTTGTTTCAGAGAAGTGGCATCTCCAAACAAAAAAATGTGTTGTCAAAAAATTTCCAATTAACTCTACACAAAAACAGATCTTACTCCTAACACCATCTTTCCCTTCCTCCCAAGTTTCTGATCATACTTTCTAGCCTCCGTTCTTCAAGTGCAATCCATTTCCTGATATTTTTCTCTGTTCTTCAGCCATTTCACATACCCCAATCTCTCCTGTTTCCTATTTCTAGCACTGTACTGAGCCCAATAGGCTGCTAGTTTCCTGCATCCACTTTGCTTATTTTATACAAAGTCTATGTTGTTGATTCAGTAGATCTAACAACCCTGGAAGCTTTCTTGAAATTTCACAGCCATGTGAGCCTTCCATGGATCAGTGTGTCCAGAATTGTGTTTTTGACCTGGAGAAGAAGATCTTAAGGGCACATCTACACTGCAGTGCTATTTTGAAATAACAGAATGTGCATCTACACAGCAAGTGCATTATTTCAAAATAATTTTGAAATAACAGGACTCTTATTCTGACTTCTGTAACTCTCATTTCACGAGTAAGGGAAATCGAAGGAAGAGTGTTCTTTCAACTTCCTACTGTGTAGACAGTGCCTAAAGCTGAGTTAAGCTTCTTTGACTTCAGCTATGCAATTAACATAGCTGAAGTTGCATATCTTAATTTGACTTTAGCCTGTAGTATAGATGGACTCTAAGGGTGTGTCTAGACTACCTAGTTTTGTCGACAAAAGTGGACTTTTGTCGACAAAACAATACCAGCGTCTACACTACCGCGGAGTTCTGTCGACATAACGTCGACAGAACTCCGCGGTTTTGTCGACGATGGTATACCTCACAGGGGAGCGTCCAGACTATCGCGCTGAGCCGACAAACAGCTGATCAGCTGTTTGTTGGCTCAACGCGGCAGCCATGTAAATTTAAATGAAGCGGCGATTATTTAAATCGCCGCTTCATTTTACTCTGTCGGGTAGCCTAATCTACATGCCTCTGTCGCCAGAGGCATGTAGTCTAGACGTACCCTAAGAGATTTCAGGTCTATCCTGAAAGTGACTGAGTACCATCACCTTTCACTGATGTTAGTGGGAGTTTATGATACTGAACAACTCATGGAGGCACACAGACTTGCAAGATTGGCTCCTTGATGGTGGAATTTGGTATAACCAACCGGCAAACTTGCTGAAATGGATTTTGTGAGGTGGCAAAGGAAGAAAAGGCCTGGGTTGGATTAAGAAATCACTTTTGACTGGTTAGGGACCCAATTGATCTTGACCTTCATGAAGAGTTGTCTATAGATGGGTAGAACCAATTTTGCATCTGAACACTTGTAAGAAGTCAGATTTGAAACTGAGATCCAAATTCAAACTTTCTGGGAGCTCAGAATGTTCATATTTGGTTGTAGATCTGACCTATTGTAGAGATAATTGTAGTTGTTGGGTTTGGAGCTTGTCCCATCTCAAATTTGGTTAGAGGTTTGGATAGAGATTCAGCTTGTCTTTCTTTTGTTTTGCAAGACTGAATCATTCCTTTGCCAAAATCTCCCATATCTTTCATGCTTGATAAGTACCACATAAGCAAAGAGTAAATGCTTTGCCAAAATCTCCCATATCTTTCATGCATGATAAGTACCACATAAGCAAAGAGTGCTACCAAAGACTAGAATAATTTGCATCTATTCCAGTTCTGAAGACATTACTCAATCTTTTCTATGTAATTTTACCTGAATAAAGACTAAAACCATCTATTCCAATTCTGAAGACATTACTCAATCTTTTCTATGTAACCTGAATAAAGACTAAAGCTCCACATAAGCAAAGAGTGCTACCAAAGACTAGAATAATTTGCATCTATTCCAATTCTGAAGACATTACTCAATCTTTTCTATGTAATTTTACCTGAATAAAGACTAAAACCAGCATTTTCCAACATGAGTCTCTAAAGCTTTCATTTAAAAAAATGAGGAGCAACATTAGTTCGAACCAAGGGGTTTGGTTCAAACTCATGTGTCCCGGCATGTACTTTCATTTTCGAAACAGCTGTTCAGCAGAGTAATGCAGTGGCGAGATCATGCTAATGAAGTGCGGGATATTTAAATCCCCACTTCATTAGCAATTTCGGTCACCTACATTTGCATCCCTAGTTTGAACTAGGGTGCAAGTGTAGATACCCAGAGAGACCCTAGGGCTGGGTCAAATAGCATTATGATTTTGCTATAGTTTTCAGTGTTCTATACTTTTATGGAGAAAGTTGCATCGTTCTGTACTTAAGTCTGTTCTTTACAGTTTTTGTCATGATATTATAAAACACATGGAATTAGTACCTGCTGCATGCTTAGAAATTGTGAGTTATCTGATGACAATGGTAATTGAAACATATTGTACTATGGATTTTTCAGTAGAACGCCACAAAGAAGTCCATGAGGACATTAGCATCAAAATGGAAGGCCTAACAGAACCCCCCAAATGCATTTCAGTGTCATATATTGTATGCGTATGTTTATATTTTTAAAAATAAATGCTCAAGAAATATGGTTCCAAAGTTGGTAAGCTGACTCAAGAAACATCAAATTACTACCAGCCAACCCACTTTCCCTCTCCAATCTTATCTCCAATATGCATTCCATAAACACAACAATATATTAGGTGTCCTCTTGATCTCTTTTCCATTCTGACTGATTCCATAGGTATATATCTTTATGGTATTGCTCAGTAGTAAACTTATGTAAGCCTTTGTAGCACTAAGCCTAATCTTATTAAATATGGTAAACCAGATGTGAATCAAGCCCAAAACATGTAATGTAAAATAGATTACAAAAATAATAGTAACTGACAAAGAAGTTTTATAACAACTCAGGGATTTTGTTTTAATCTTCCCAAAAAACTTCAGATGGTCATATGACACATTATTATATCTATTTTAAAGAAATTTTTTAAGGATGGAATAAATCACACGTGATGCAGCATATTGTCTTTGTAATAAAGAGTTGGCTAGCTAGGTCATTATGATTTACTTTAGTGCATTGCTAAATCACAGCACAGAACAATACTGCAAAGTGCTCCTGCGAACTCTAAGGCTGCGTCTACACTGCAATGCTAGCTTGAAATAATCTATGCAATTTGAGCAACACAAATTGCGTACCTTATTTTGAGCTTACTTTGAGATAGTCTATTTCAAAATTATGAAATAAACTGCTATTCTGACAAGTCCCATAACCCCCAGAATAGCGCGCCCGTTATTTTGATTACATTTTGAAGTAATGGGCGTGCTGTCAAGACGCAGAAAACGCTATTTGAGGATACTGGTAGTATCCCAAAATAGTGCCGCAGTGTAGACATACTTTAACAGACCCCAAAACAAGAGTTGTGAACATATTATTAAACAACACTCAGATCCTTTCTAGCCACATTTTATGTTCTAACTGTGTCGAAGCAAAAACATGCTCCTCTGTGTTTAGGCAGCTAACAAACAGCTTTATTAATTAATAAAGCACAGCATGAGCCAAACGTGGTCACAGCAGAGCCGGGCCCAGTAAGGCTGCTAATACAATCAATCCTAGTATCTTTATACCCTTAACCAAACAGTCTGACGTCAGGGCATCCAATTACAGAAATCCTCAATTAAATTTGGAAACACAAAGCCTTATCAACAAGATGGCGGACAGGTGCGAGGGAGTACATCTCCTGTCCCAGCCAGCCCAATTAACACATACCAATAGCCCATCCTGTAGGCCTCTTCTCACGGGGTGACAGAAAGTTCACTCTGGTCTACGTGCTTGAGAGAAAAGCTGAAATGGTTTCTGATATACAAGATGGCTTCTAGCTAAACATAAAATAGCTTCTTCAACTGTATATAAATACTTACCATGTACGAAGGTAAACACACAGGAAAATGCATCTTAAAATTAGTATTTCCAAAGATTTGGATTCAGTTCATTACACTGTGAATTTTGTATTTGTTACCAGGATTATTTCCCATATTGGTATAGTGATGCTACTTCATGAGCAATGGAATATGTAGGCTATTTGTTCATTGGGAACAAACATTCAGGTTATCAGTGAAGTAGTACTACATCTATCCAATTTTTCAGATGACTTGTGCCCCTTTTGGTATATTTTTTTAAATATGCATGTCTATAAAGTGGATGAGGAAGAGGATCTGGAGAGTTTGATGTTGGTATTGAAAGCAGCACTAAAATTATATTCTTCTCTTTTTGGGAAGCAAATAGCACAAGAATCTGGTGGGATTAAGTCTATACATACAAATTTGGGCCCCAAATATCAACCAGATAACTAGAGCAACCCACTAAATTTTAGAAAGTCAGGTATCATGGCTGCAAATTATTATTTGGCTTAAAATTATTCTTTTTAAGGTAATTTTAGAAAGTCAGGTATCATGGCTGTCTTAAAATTATTCTTTTTAAGGCACTCTGATTTTGGATTCTGAGCAATCTTTTAAGCTCCCAGGAGAAAATGTAATTTTTCTTAAAGTGAGAGTGGGTGCAAGAGAGACAGGATTGTTACCATAATTACCAAGACACTGCCTGAAAGGAGAAGCTCACCTTTGTGTGGACACAGATTTTCATAGGTAGAGTTTCCTTTGTCGTCGATACTTATTTGCTTCCAGCTATGAGGGTATTTCTTACCCATCTTGATCATTACCTTCGGGCCTTGTTTGGAGAGAAAGAGAGAGCTATTTGCCACCTGGAGGAGGCCTTCCTTTTTGTGGCAGGTCCAGCTGGGTGCCTGAGGGCAGTCTATGAAGATGCTGCGGGATGATGCAGCAGAGGACTTGGAGATGCCCAAACACTGGCCAGATTTAACATGGAGCAGTTTCTCATAGTCTGTCCACATCCACTGCTGGTTTGGATCCGTCAGATTGCAGTTGCTCACTAACGCTGTTTTGCCTCTAAAAAGGCATTGCTGTTTCTGGACATGGATAATCAGAAACCCTCCTGGAAGATGAAAAACCCATAAAAATGCAGCAAATCATATGTGGCATTTAAAAATGAATCCCAATGACTTCAAAATAATCCTCCTTTTTTCTTTCCCACTTTCTGTGTATCTCAGCTTTTTATGACTGGCACCAGCAGAAATTATTTTAAAAGGCACAAAATCACAATTGTTTGGTCAGGGAAATGCGAAGAGAGAGAATGCAACAAACCCTGACTTTCTACTTAAAAACAAAAGAAATCTAACTTGAATTAAAATATGGGTTATTGACTTTCACTTCACTTCTGAAAACCCTGTCCCTCCTCTTCCAATACACAGAGATCCATTAGCCTTCCTTACTCTCACCTTAAATTAAATTCACTGTACATAACTGGAAATTGATTTTTTAAAACAAATCTTAGTATTTGGTGGAGGAGGGTGACAGAAAAGGTGACTTACAACATCTGTGTGCCTCTACAGAGCTGTGTGAAAAAGGATGGGAACTTTTGACTGATATGAACTCTGTGTATCTTACACACCTAAATACATTGACTCCTCCAGTCATTACTTTGTAACTATCTCACTATAGATCAGATTGATTCTTTTATTATCCCAGTTTATATGTATAGAGCCAATGATAAAATGAAGAGAAGAAAAAATCATTCATTGAAATCAAATTTCCCCAACCCCAAAAGCCCATTTGTTATTAAGAACAGAATTGGAAGGTTCACTAGCAATCTCAATTTGACTCTCATTTCATTGATCACGTTTTATTGCAAGTCAGTTAATTCATCAAAACTTAAGGCTCCACTCGATAAACAAAATCATTTCAAAACAAAACACGTAACTTCTTTTGTTTCTTCATTCACACTTTTTTATGGCGTAGGACATAAAACTGTTCTAAGTGCCCATAGAAGCTTTAGGTTTGGTAAGTTTCACAAAGCCTTACTAAGTAATCTGAATCTCTCTTCAAAGAAATCTAGCTCAGGATTCTGCCACAGAACTGTCTAGTTGAAGATATTTTTTAAAAGGTATTCAAGGAGAGACCGTTTATTTTCCTTTGGAGAGAAATCTAAACAGTACGGGCTTTGTTGGCCCAGCCCTCCCCCTCCATCTCTCTTATATAAACTCAGGCTGAGAAGTGGCTCCATTTCCACAGCACTGAATAAGTTTCAACAACCCTTAGGAGCCCTGGTTAGTGACACAATGGGAACTGGAATGGAGGATAGACACCGGGCGATGTGCTTACCTGAGATCTTGAAGGCCAGGAAGGTAAAAATCAGGACATGAAGTAAGGGATCCATTTTCCAGCTAACAACTCCCCATGCTTCTGTTTAAAAAAAACCACACACACACACACGCAACACACACACACACACACACACAAAATCACCACCTCAGATAAGTGAAGTGAAGGCTAGGAAGGAAATGTGCCTTCACAGGAGGAAAAGTCAGTGACGAGCATTTCCTTCTATTCAATAGTTTTGGGGAATTTCATACCAGTTTGTCCTTTCATATGATTCTTCAGAGTTTACAGACTCTGATTTATTTTGGAAAAACCCAAGCAAAAAGGGGATAGATTTTGAAACTACCAGTGCTCGCTCACACACAAATAAAAAACATGCTTCAACATCTGAATAAAGTGCTGGATTAAAAATATAAGGAACAGAGATTGTAATTTCATGTAACTGACCACTCATAAAACATTCCATGGCTGAATGTGGTTTGGCTAGTGATGAATAAATACATACTAGCCTATCCATTTTTCACCATTCACAGTTTCTAGAATATGTTGTGAGTCCATCAAGCAAAATCACATTATTAGATATCATTTCCAACTCCTCTGTGAGTTCTGAAAACTATAATATTGTGGGAGTACTAATCTATGAGTTCTTCTCATTGTACACTCCCACTATGGGATCAAATTATGTTGACTTTTCGTCAACATTGTCTGATCCATGTTGCCTACATACAGTGAGAGTTTGCCTTAATGAAAAGCTGGGTAAAGGCCTCAAAGATTTGACCTCCAAATGGCCAGAAGCCAGCATAGAATTAACTAGAGCAGATTGGGCTATATTTGCCTTATCAGGGTATCATGATAATGGTAATGGTTACTTACTGTAGGCAATAAACCTCCAGATGCACTAACTATTTTGTATCAAGGGTAGTTTATTGTCAGTATGAAGCAAAGTCAACATCACTGAATTAAAAACTGATTTAATCCTAGTTGCTGTAAGTAGTTATGCTAGATTTACATTTCTCTTAATGAACAAATCTTTGCAGAAATATAAGGAAACATTCATAAAAACATTTTTTTGTATAACTTCCTGTAACAGAACAGCTCCTCTTTCCAAAGGCATCCATCTCTTAACAGAAGTGATACAACAGGGAGATAACATATTCGAAAAATCCACTCTTAGTGAAAGATGGGCAAATATTTAAAATCCTTACCATTGAATATATGCTATAAAGTTTCCTTTAAAAGTAAAATGACTCATACAGTTTACAAATACACTGGATTCAGGTCAGGAACAGAAGCAGTTTCTAACAGTATAGAGTACAATCAACAGTATAGAGTAATTACATACATATACATTGAATAACAGAGGTTGTGCTCTGTCACTGCATTATAGGACTTATTATAAATATGCATTAAATAGCTAAATAGTATGAAGAACAGATATTTCCATATAAAAGATAACCGCTTTTGAACAGTTTCCAAAACAAAAGAACTTTTCTTCTTAAATCCATAATTAATCACTTGCAACTTTAGCAGCAAGAGTTTTATGTGGCCAAGAAATAAGCTCACCACATAATAGGTAATAGCACTTAACAGGTACAGTTTAACAGCTGACAGTCCATTCACAAGACAGAGTTGGCAAATGTTAAAGCATTTATACACTTAGAAAAACATTTCTTCTGAAGAAGTTCCAATTTCCATCTGACTGCAGCCGTAGCACATACATACGTTCTGTATAGCAGATATTATTACAGTAATAAATCCACCTTTTAGATATATACGTGAAATCCACATGTAGCATCAGTATAGTACCTTCTTTAAAAATCATTTCAGGATGCTTACAATATATTCATATACAGTAAGTGTCTGGCTATCTTTATAGTTTTGCCAAACCATCCATAGTCCTTTCACAAGTTGGCGTCAAAGCACCTCTCTCCACTGTAGTAAACTCCTTGACGAAGTTGCTGGTAGGTAATGAAACAAATTACCTCAAGAGACTGACATTCTGGTCCCCCTTCGTGGTTTCACTGGACTGCTTCTTCAGCGAGTCGACTTTCATACAGACTCAGTGCATGGTGCACAAATTCATATTGTTCACTGGTCTGAACCATTCCACCTCTGAAAAGAAAGTGCAATAGAATGAAATCTTATTCCTTAAAAATCGAACAAATCTGCTCTCGTGCTAAGAACCAGAAAACACGTGAGGTCAAATCCTGAGGTCTATTCTGAGTTTTAATTTCAGTGAGAGTTTCTCTGAGCAAATGGCAGTTTGGCCTGAGTAGTGCTCTTCAAGTGATATTTGTCTTGTTATTACATCATGACTATCCAACCCTGACACAAAAA